ATGTCGTTTAAACACTAATAAATGTCGTGTCTGGTGAGGACATATCCCATTGACACTTTTACGTGACGTGCTCGATGACGTCATTGTTACGATTTACGGGACTGGTGACGAGGCAGATTGTCTATTTAGCATCGTATTCTCTGGGAAAATATTCCGTTGCTTGATCACTTAGCCTTCAGTAGAGATGTGGGGTCTTTCTACATCTGCCGCATTTACTACGGAGAGTGTTGAGAGGAGTTGTTCGGATTAATACCTGCAGCTGAGTTTCATCATCGGACGTCGAGGAGTACGAAATTCCACCCGTATCACCGCGACGACCGACGTTCCACAACTGAGCGTTTAAGGCAGTTTTTGCCGCGCACCACTTATGTCCCGCTGCCCACTGATTTCCGAACCAATTCGACTTAGGATCCTTCTAGAAAAGAGCGTACCGATTCTTAAAAGGCTGGCATTTTCAAGCCTTCTGCATCATGTCACTCTGGGGTCACCGGTACTATCTACCAGGCGCCAACTTAAATATTTAATTAGCGCCTCAGCACTTGAACCCCACGGCCTATGAGTCTCTACTAGGGCAACAAAATCATAGTTTAAGGAAATAATCTTATGTTTTAGTCTTTTTAAAATATGCGTTTTTAGGTAATATAGATTAACAATACTTGTAAATATATTATTTTAATATGCAATTATGAAGTAGCTCGCAAATTGTTAAAACTATTTATGAATGTTAAAAAAACTGTATAGTGAGTTCTTGTATCAGGACTGTCAGAGGTCTAAGGAGCCATCTAAAAAGAAAAAGAAATAATAATAAATATGACGACTCATTGGTCTAGTGGTTATTACCCCTCACTGCGAATCCATGGGTCCCGGGTTCGATCCTCGGCTGAAACGAACATCGATGTGATGAGCATTTGGTGTTGTGCTTAGGTCTTGGGTGTTTAAATATGTATTTATATGTCTATCTATCTATAATATGTATGTATATCCGTTGCCTAGTACCCATAACACAAGCCTCAGCAGCTTAGCATGGGACTAGGTCAATTGGTGTAATTCACACTTTAAAAAAACATGTAATTTTTTTTTTCCAACAATAGAATGTTATTCAATAAATATATAATGTAGTTAATTTATGTGTGAACAGTCCTAGAGGTAGGTAGAGATTCTAATTAAAGATTGTTCAGTACATAAGTCCGATAGGTATAATTGAATTTCATTAAGTCTTGGTACCAGGATAGCTTGGAAGGATCTATCGAAAATACCATGAAAATTTAAATAAATAACACATAATTGCTTTAACTTAAAACTAAATTCCGTGAATTGTGCTTTTAACATTATTTTGGTGTATTTGACATTCAATTAAATTTTGGCAACACCGAGCGAATAAAAAAGTATAGATTAAAATTATAATGCGTAGGTTGAAGACAAATATATTTTATCTGAATCACCTTTTTCTCTTTCTAGAATAGTTTTAAATGCTAATAATTGTAATGCCACTAAGAAAGAGTTTTATAATTAACATAATGAACACGTGATTTGTCGAATTTTTTGCCGTTTCGATTCTTGAAAATGTTTTTCACTAAAGGTATATTTTCTTTGTGTGAAATTTTCTATTTCCTTATACACAAGTAATTAAAAGAATTCATTCGGTACAAATTTTCCAATACCAAAAGCAGAGTTGATCTACTGGCTTCAGTGCATCATCCCCGTGGTCGTAGATTCGATTCCCGGCCGTGCACAATGAACTTTCTATTTGCGAATCTAACCCTCGTACGGTGAAACATCGTGAAGAAACTAGCAGCACCTCACATCCAAATATGACACACTAGTAGACTCGGCCAAGCGTTGCTGTGGCTAAGATATTTGTTACATTACATAGTAGTAAACTATTCAAGAGAAACGACAGGAGAACATCAATCCACCATGCTTTTTTGGTGGTTATGTCATTAAATTGTAGCTTATGTGAAACGTTGGTATTTATTTTGATAAGGATCAATACCTAGGTACGAATAAAGAGCCCTTTCTAGCGGTGGTATTTTAATTAAAAAAATGATAAAAGGACGCTTATTGTGACGTAACTATAAAAGATAGAGACATGCTGTCGGGACATTTTTTATAGATAGTGATGTGCCCTGAAAAATTAAAATACATCATTTTGTTCTATCATTAATAGTTTTCGCAGCGCACGCGATTGAAGGAAGTTTTTTGTTTATTTTTTTACACCTTGGGTTAGATTATTCAAGTTTTAGTAAGCATCCCTAATTTTTTTGAAAATGAAACATAGCCTATGTCACTCGGGAATAGTGAAGCTTGCCAACGGTGAAAGAATTTTTGAAATCGGTCCAGTAGTTTCGAAACCTATTCATTTCAAACAAACAAAAAATCAAACCTTTCCTCTTTATAATATTAGTATAGATATCAGACAGAAGGCCGAACTTGTTTATAAAATAAAGATCTTTTTGACTCAAAATATTTTATAATAAATAATCTAGCCGTGTCGAATACCCAGATTATGAGTTACAAACTTGAGTTTTATTACACTAAAACTATAATTTTATTTGTCACCAATAATAAAAACTTAATAATAATAATTTTTGTCATAAAATATTGATTAGTGTCAACTATTACACAAAGTGACAAATATCTCTATATATATAAAATTCTCGTGTCACAATGTTCGTTCCCATACTCCTCCGAAACGGCTCGACCGATTCTTATGAAAATTTTTAAGCATATTCAGTAAGTCTGCGAAACGGCTACTATCTATCTTTCAAACCCCTAAATGTTTAGGGTGGTCCCCTAAATTTTTAATTTTTAGATAACATTTTTTTTTTATATAATACAGCAAATACATACAAACCTTAATTAGCCTCTTAACCCCTGAACGATAAACCCCTATTTTTAATTTGTTAATTAAAATCTTATAACTGGAACTCTGAGGTTTATATGGAGAAAAATTCACAGCTTAAAAAGTTTTCATTCCAGAAAACCAAACAGTCTCTGGGGTAGCATAGCAAAATGTTCCATGTTGGTATGTACTAAAAAGGTAGGCTAAGTAAAATCACATTAGGGAAAAACGAAATGCGCGGGGGCAGCTAGTTAATTAATAATAAAATTATATTGAATTGAATTTCGACTTTACACAGTTTTAAAGTTAAAAAATCATATATTAAACCAAATCTTTTTCCAATTGAAATATCATATTTCCTTAGGTCCTTAAATATGAAATAGGCTTTTCATATGGAAGGAACAAAAAGTCGACTTTTTTAAAATAGATCATTGCTATCTATATACTTTTGCCATTATATTTTTTTTATATTATCTTTCTTTTGCGACACCGCCGCCATACAAATCATTAATACTTCGAGCCGTTTCTGCAGCACTGGTGCAACGGTGGAACTCGTAATTGTTAATAACGCGATATTTTTTTTTTAAATTTTATAATGATGCAAAAAAAATAAAACGGGAGAATGAAATGAATAATGGTTTTCGAAAAAGAAATGCAAGAGTTTCGAATTTCTAACTTACGAGGCGTTTTGATTAGTTCCTTAATGATTGCATTCTTTAACAGACGATATTTATAAAAAAGTCAAAAATCATTTATTCATATAGGTAACACAATGTACACTTATAAACGTCAAATAGAAATATATTATGTAGAATGAATAATAATATAGAATTTTTCTAATTTTACATTTACTGCCAGTTCTCAAATCAAGAGCGTAGAACGGAAGAGAAGAACTGGCAATAAACTCTCCGCCGCTCTTTTTAATCGCCAAGTTTTTTGTTTTACACAACGTTTGTAATACAAAACAATTACACCATGTTCCACATGACATCTTAAATACAATATATATTTAATATATTTCCTACTTTTTTATCGGATTTCAAACTCACTACTACATTCAACGTGACAAGGGCCACTAAATACAGCGTATATATTAGTATTAATTTGTCCAGACAGGATGTCTCACCCACGTGTCTATCGCTCGAGATCAAAGAACAAAATCACTATATTAAAAAGTAACGATCGTATGTGTAATCCTCATAAGTTACTGTCAATTGAATCATTATGTCTAGAATAAACTGTTGTATACGTTTATTTATAAGTAATCATAACAATCAAATATATAGTATTTACAATTTTCTTAATCTACATAGTAAAAAATGGGTGCTTGTACTTATGTACACGCGTAAGAAGTTATACTTCTTTGGCATTATTAAAAATAGTTTTTGATTGCATGCAAATAATTAATTACAATTAAATAATCAAAGACTGGAAAAGGAGTCATCATAGTCAATAAAGTTCAGTTTACATTTGAAAAATTAAATAAATAAATATTTATTATTATTCTCTTACATTAAGTGTAACATAAATTCTATTATTATTCGAATGTTGTTTTTAAATTGTGTCCAATGCCGTAGCATCTTCCGTGGGCAACTTCATTCTGTTAATATTGTGTCACGGTGCGCGCGCATCGTAAAATTTCACTCTCATCAATTTTTCATAAGGCGCCTAAAGAAGTATTAAGTATTACTTCAATAATAAAAATGAATGTAAACAAAACTAAAACAAATTTAAAAAGTTTGGCCCCTGTGGCAGTGTACCTTTAACGCTGGCAGCTTTTCCTCGCTGTATTGCGATACTGATTCTTTAAGTGAGGAAAGGACCAGCTCTGGGGTCACCGGTAGTGTCAGTCTTTGAAGAATCTCTTCAAAGGGAACAAAATCGAAGTTGGAGGAAAGACTTATATTTGAGCCGTTTATTATTTTAAATGTTGTATAAAATACTCAAAATCATTTATTCATATAGGAAACACATTGACACTTATGAACGTCAAAAAACTGCACTGCCGGGGATCGAACCTACGACCTCAGGGATAAGAGTCGCACGCTGAAGCCACTAGGCGAACACTGTTCAACCCTTATTATCTAGTATTCTATTATATATTTTGTCCTGAGGCCGAATACGTAACATCCAGCAGAAATCGTAATAGAAAATAAAGATGTGCTATTGGCCTGTTCAGTTTGATGACGTGACGCGTTGTGCAGGGCAGCTGTTGCTGGACAGATGGCGCCGGGCGCTGCGTGAGGCTTACGGATACAAGCCTTCTGACCCTCAGCGAGGTGGAGAGGAGAGCGTTGCAGCAGGCTGCGCTGGCGAGGCTTCAGCAACTGAATATTGGCACACCTATCAAGATACCTGAAGGTAAGGTCTACGTTACCCGGAGAATGCTACTTAACCGTCTAATCTTTTTTCTGAAAAATGATATACAGTTCATCAAACTTTTAAGGAAAGGAATTATAAAATTGGTGGCCATGGGCTGCAATTACTGTCAATTACTTGCTGCAAACACTGGACGTCTGTATGCCTCCTATCCTATTACGTTTACTATCAATACAGCAATCCTCTATTGAATATTTTATAATAACTTTTCTTTCTGCCAATTAATACTCGGTGAGTGGTAAGATGCGATAAAGAAACCTTCCTGAGCCTAATACTCACCAATGTATAGTACATGTAATAATAGTAGCCTTATTGCTGCAAAATACTTGTCCTATAGTAAAAGTGTGGACTACTATAAACACCAATAATTATTTATTTGTGGAGTACTATTTTACAGCTTGTCCTTGGACATAGGCCTCCTCTAAGAGCTTTTGCCGCGCACCACCACTATGTGGAACCAGCTGCCCACTGAAGTATTTCCGAACCAATTCGACTTAGGGTCCTTCAAGAAAAGAGCGTACCAATTCTTAAAAGCCGGCGCACCCCCCCCCCGCCCCCCCGCGTTGTAGGTGTCCCCTGGGCGGCGGTATCACTTAAATCAGATGAGCCTCCTGCCCGTTTGCCCACCGTTCTATAAAAAAAAAAAAAGCTTCCACTCCTCTCGGCGTCTAGCTTTACGTAGCCACATAGGGCCAGCTGCTCTACTTATATCAACTTCCCATCTCTTTATTTGCCTTCGTCGTTTTCTTTTGTTATAGCGAGGAATCCATTCCGTCGGTTTTCCGTCATAATGTCCATTGCCATTTCAATCGTTTACTAGAAGAAAAAGCATTTCTCAACTTTATCATGTCTTTTATTTCTTCTAGTTTTACTCTATCTTTCAATTTCAGACCTAGAACACTCCCTTCGATACTATTTTGACATACTCTTAGTTTGTTTTGTTGTTTGTCAGTGAGTGACCACTTTTGACATGCGTATAACGGGTAAGGTTATATAAAGTCTATTTTATTTATGTACTTTTGTATGTACGCCGGGAGAAGTCCAAGTGCATTTTTTAGTAATTCTTTTTTGGAAAAAATTTCCTATGGTTTTTTCTTTGCCATCTTTACATTTCCCTATTTTCCCGTTGAAATCTTCCATGACAATAAATTTTTGTGAACTTGTGCTATTGTTTAGATCATGGTAAAAATGTTATCCTGCTTCTTAGTTGTCAATATTTATGTTTGTTTAAAATCTTAGTTCTTTTCTATTCTTTTTAGAGCTCTTAAAAGCTTTTTCTCTTTTCTTTTCTTCTATCCAATAGATGTATAACCAAGGCGATAATCCCTTTTCAACCTTATAAAAAAATACAAATTTTAGTTTAAAAAAGTATTGTATAGAAATATCCCAGGGAAACAGCTATTCGACGATGCATGAACACGGCAGGTACTTTCATTTATAGCGAAGGAGATACCGCGCCAGAAATATCCGCAACGATTATTCTTGAAACAGGTGGTCTCATGTTTTCAGCTGACTTCAAAAAAGCAGGTTTCATGTGATATTGATAGAATTAGATAACATTTAATCAATTTAGGCTTTACGTTTGCTAAATTCTGTAATTGCAATGACCGTAATAAGTTTGATCTCACAAACAAATGAATGTGCAAATTTAACACCTGCTTGTATGGTGGAAAATATCGTAAAAATTACTATAGAAACCGACTTGTGCCAGGCAAAACCGAGGAGCACTACAGCTTTTTATGTCTGTGCTTTTCTTTATCTGTTTTGTGATTTATAATTAAAACCTTTTGTGCCTGACATGCACTGCTGTGGTTCGAACCTGCAATCCCAGGGATGAGAGACGCACGCTGAAACGTTTGACTGACACTGAAAGGCAAATAATTATTTGATAAAGTCAAAGTCAAACATCGTTTATTCAATAGGTAACACAATAGGGTGCTTCTAATTTTACATTTACTGGACAAATCAAGGGCGTAGAACGGAAGAGAAGAACTGGCAATAAACTCTCTGCCACTCTTTTTAATCGCCAAGTTTTTTGTTTTACACAATGTTTGTAACCATTACACATTAAATTCATAGTTTATCAATAATAATAAAATAAATTAAAAACAAAGAATTATGCCAATTGCTCACGGGAGTTGATATAACAAAACACGTTTTCCGTTTTAAAATACAATAAAATAAAAGTGCCTTGCCATTTTAAACATAAAAAAACAGCTTCCTAAATAAACTCATAGTTTAGATATACAGATGACCCAGTAACTTTTGGGTTTAAACATAAAATGTTGACGAGCGACACATGCTATTTACACGACGCTTAAAATAAGCACACATGACGCATGCAAACGTCACGCGACATCTTGTGACAAGGCATGACGTCAGATAACAATAATAATTAAATCATTTTAATTATTTTATTTTATTTATTTGCTCAACAGTATTCCTACAACTACTCACTAAACAATATCCAAAAATTTACATTGCACACAAAAGCCAGAAACGGAATACACATTCAAACATAAACAAAGCACAGTTTCACCTATATATACAAAAAATATAACAAAGTATATATGTATCTATAATAAATTCTAAATTTTAAGTTCTAATATTAATTGATCACTATAATTTATATTTAATATAAACGAAGAATAACAAAGCCATTATTAATAAAAGATACCAGAGTTTTTAAAATTATTTTTTAAACATTTTTTAGTTACATTAAATATATCTATTTGCTGGTAATTTGTGTTATAATCAGAATCATGAGTGAGTTACGTAAATAGTTTGTATTAGACCGAGGAATTTGAAATAGTTGGGTTTGCCTTGTATGAAGAAGGGATCTGAAAAAGTAAACGCGACAATAATAATTATTAGATAGGAATAGTGATAGCAAATAATACTCGTACAGTGAGGTGATTATAAATAGCTTCTTTGCTAAATGATAAATGATTTATTTTCTGTAAGTAGGTTTGTACAAACACTTTTACACGTCAAACATATTTTTTTTTTAAACTAGATAAGATCGACGTTTTATCTGACAACTCTGAGAAGAAACGCCGAAACAAACTCAGAGGTCACAGTCTCTTTTAAAGTCCAGACATAACAAGATTATGTGAAGACCATGTAGATTGCAGTCTGAAATGGTCTTTTGAGGAAAGAACCACACAGATTGAGTGGACCTGTCCAGTCAGTAATCGTGCAGCTCAACTCAAAACTTAAGGAGCTTAACGATTCGACGAACAATACCAAAGATAAGACATTTCGGTAGGCCGCATGAATTACTCAAACTGTCAGACTATGACTAAAACTGAGAAAAGGATAAAATAAATAACAAACAATGATCCACGTAGTCTTCACATTCACAACAATTAAAAATAGTATAAGTAATACTTTACTGCTGAAGAAAACCGCACAATAGCGTCGCCAACAGCAGACAACTACCTCCCTAGAAAACCGATACAGCCTTTTTTTACTTGCCAAAAATGTATCCTGTTACTGATGATTGGGAAAAAGTGAGTGCAGAGGTTGCATATGCACGTCTTTGTCAAAGAATCTTCGGCAATGGGAATCAAAGCCTCAAGTTCAGAAACATGGCATCAAAAATCAAAATAGCGATGACGATACCTTCCAGTGGCGTAACTATACCATCTGGGGCCCGTGGCAAATTCTTTTGATGGGGCCGTATCAGCAAAAATCGTCACGTTCTACTCAGTTTAATTTTAATATCTAAACCTCGAGATTTTCAGCGTACTCAATTACACGTTGTATATGCCCCACTAATGGCCATAGGCCTCCTCTGTTAGGCGATAGGGAATGGTCTGTATTTACATTCATCCATAGAACATAATATCTATTGGGCAGGGGCCCTCTTGGGTCGGGGGCCCGTGGCATTTTGCCAGCCCTGCCACCCTATTGTTACGCCAATTATAGCTTCGAAAGAAGATGGCGCTATAAGAATATTAGCTGCTTTGTAATGTATTGTCAATACCTCCTAGAAGTTTTCACTTTATTTATCCTATTTATCTAATCCATTGGCTCCCCTTTGGCAGACGGCTAGTGTCGACTTTTCTAGCTATCCTGTGTGTGTTCGGAGATATTTTTTCCAATGGTGGAAGAATTTTTAAAAGCAGTAATAGCTTTTAAGTTTATTCATTACAAATTGCTTTCCCGGATCGACTGTATTATTCAACGTTTCATATTGTGAGCCTTCCAGTATGATAAAAAAATGTCAGGCTGCCGAAATCTATTGGGTTATAGCGTCAATTATTACACTTTTATATTGTTTATGGGTTAGCAAAGGCCTAAAGTCCAATAAGGAAAATTATCTTTTTTTTTCATGTAACAGGAGGCTAACCTGATTTTAAGTGATACACCCGCCCATGGACACTCCCACTGCCAAAAGGCCGGCCTTTTAAGAATTGGTACGCTCTTTTCCTGAAGAACCCTAAGTCAAATTGGTTCGGAAATATTTCAGTGAGCAGCTGGTTCCACATAGTGGTGGTGTCCAGCAGAAATTGCCTTAAGAAACGCTCAGTTGTGGAACGACGGACGTCAATGTGATACGGATGGTATTTTGTATTCTGCCTTGACGTCCGATGATGAAACTCAGCTGCAGGTATCCATCTGGGCAATTGCCTAGTTGTTCGGAAGTTCTTCAAGAACAAATGTTGTCAGCATCGAAAGATTTAGCTAATTTATAAGCTATTTACGTAAATATTTAATAGTTGGCAACATTGTGAGGTCGCGTGATGTTTTGATTTTAAGAGATTATTTTCGATTAAGAATTTGATTGTAGGACGATTTAGCTTTGAGTTGGCACTCGACAGAGCCCACTGATAATGTTGGTGTCATACCAAACACTACGTAAAGATATTTTAATGTTCATAGTGTAATTTAGCCACTCTAGCCAGGGTGCCACTCTAGTTGGTCTAGTCCTACCCCAGGATGTTATGTTCCCGATTTGAAGTTCCGGACTTCACCTTCACCAACACCTGCCCTGCGATTCTGTAACTCACTTTTCGAACTCACACAGCGGTTTGCCAAATCATAAAATGACTGCTTTACGACTGATTTCAGAGCGACCGCCGAAGCGAAAACCGCTGTGTGAGTTCGAAAAGTGAGTTACAGAATCGCAGGGCTGTAAAAGACTCCAACTTTGGCGTCAGTCATCGAATAATAATAATTACAATAAAGCCTTTTTCAAAAAATATTACAATGAAATATTTATGATACAAATTCGTAACTCTAGTTATAGACCTCCTCCAACCCCTTCCAAAGTTCCCTTTCTTTGTTTTGCCGGGTCCACCTGGCCAGGTGCCTGGTGCAGTGCAACCAGGTCGTTGTACCAACGCCGCCGCGGTCGTCCTCGCGCGAGCATGTAGCACGTTACAATGAATAGGAGCGGAGCCTAAGTGAAAAATATTGGAAACCTTTTGAAAGCTTCCCTGATTTTAAAGAAAAAACTTTTTAACCGGATTAAAGTTATGTATTATTATAAATTTACAATTATTTAACATAATTTTAAATTTATCCGACGTTTCGCGTGCTTTACAGCGTGCGTGGTCACGGTGACTGAAGACAAAAGGTGTTTGATGTCAAAAAGTATCACAGCTGTAGAGAAAGTTGCATTATCTGTATTTATTTCCCCGGAGTTGGTATCGACTAAATACAACCCCCAATTTTCACCCCTCTACGATCAACCCCTATTTTTTATTATAAATGATATACATGGCAAAACGACGTTTGCCGGATCAGCTAGTTAATTTATAAAAGTTCACCTCATCATATATAATGCTATATCTTCAGTACAGTACTCCAAAATTAATAATGCGCATACAGATCTTACCAGTGGTAGTATTCCCGGTAACACCCGAATCATTGAATCGTAAGAGCCCCAAAAGTTTTGTTGAAAGAAATAGGAGTCAATATCATGTGTACACAATTGTAAACCATTCGGCCGTAGATAGAGAAGAAGATCTGTATAATGTGCAGATACATGACAATTATGGTGAACATAAATGTTACAAATAATTAAAACGTAAAAAAAAAATGTGATCCGTCACGGGACGCGTGGCAGATGTGAAACATCGACATTATTTTGTAAAAGTAATATGAAAAGCAGAAAAGAACAGATTGTTATAGGAACTAAATATGTCATAATGATAAAATAAAATATTACGATTTTTTTTCCAGATAACGATGACTATTTATTGAAGAAACTTTTATTTTAATTAAATACAAAAATTTACGAATTTATTTAAAATCGTGACTACTTAATTCGTTTAATCAGTGACTTCGAAATACACACACCCTACTGCATATAGACTGTATATATATCATCATATAGTCGATCGATTTCTGGCGTGGCGACGCATGCCGTGGCGACGCGCCGCCATGCCAGAAATCGATTTTACGGAAATCGGTCGGCGGCTATAGATGTTTCACATCAAAATGTCACTTCTAATTTTAGATTTTACTAGTAATTTTTGGCTTATTCTTTAAAGCAAAAATTGCGGATAGGTATCAGATAGGCACCTAATAATCCAACGAAAGAATAAAACACGTCCATCTCCTATGATATCTCAAATCAAGGGCGTCGGAAGAGAAGAACTGGCAATTAACTCTCCGCTAATCTTTAAATCGCCAAGTATTTTGTTTTACACGATGTTTGTAAGGAGCTAACATCACCGGATACACGAATTCAAGTCCGACCAGTCAACACAAGTAGCACCCGTTCACGAGTATCACGCATGGCCAGCCATCGGACCCTCGCCATATTTTAGGGAGAGAGACAACCCGACGCATGGACACAAGCAATGCCATTTAAGCGAGCATGACGATCCTTGAAATGTGAACTTGGTTATATAATAATAATAAGAACGTAACACCGGCTAGAGATCTCCGATCGTACAATGACTATCACAATCCTACTGTATTCAATATAACGGCGTACTCTAATGAAGATAATGTAAAAATCGAACAGACTCAACAATAATGTGATAAATTTGGATGATTTTTTGTCTGGCTATCGTCGTATGATGTTTATCAGACAAGGAATGCATAAACAGTTCATAGTACGGCATAATAATCGTTTGTGGAATTGCGTACAACGCATATACGATATGATTAGATCAGATTAAAATTCCATTATGTTCTAGAAATGAAGAGCTTGAGATATATTTTAAAAAGTACATTGTCAATGATATATTTGCAAGACCAACTGTTTGGGGTTGGTAGCACAGATTGTGTGTTGTTCCCACGAGAAAGTAAGTGCGCGCTCCTATTTCACCATGCCTCCTGCTGATAGAGGACAAATCTTTGTTTTTAATTTATTTTTTTATAATTATTTACTTAAGATGTCATGTGGAACGTGGTGTAATGGTTGCAGCTCCTTACAAACATTGTGTAAAACAAAAAACTTGGCGATTAAAAGAGTGGCGGAGAGTTTATTGCCAGTTCTTCTCTTCCGTTCTACGCCTTTGGGAACTGGCAGTAAATGTAAACTTAGAAGCATTTAATATATATTTATTTTTTGACGTTTATAAGTGTATATTGTGTTACATTTTTGATGGACCGATCAATTGAGAAACTCGTCCTCAATACTGCTATAACTCCCTTATGGACTCCCCACTGGACAGAAGCCAGTGGACAGACTGTCTGCTCCAGATGTGTCCTTGCTGACCACGACGCTCAGACAGAAAAAACTTTGTTATATATATTTATAATATCATATGCCCTAATGATTATATATATTTCTAACACACAAATATACATAATTTACATTTAGCCTACATAGTAATAATAATTAAAAATTGAGAAATACAAATTTAAAAAGTTTAGTCCCTGTATCAGTGTACCTTTAATGACATCATTTCCTCGCTGTTTTGCGATACTTTACAACATTGTTAGCCATGGCTTCAGTGTGTGACTCTCATCCCTGAGGTCGTAGGTTCGATCTTCGGCTGTGCAATGGATTTCTATGTGCGCATTTAACATTCGCTTGAACGATGAAGGTAAAACATCGTGTGGAAACCGGCTTGCCTCAGACCCGGCGACGGCGTGTGTCAGGCACAGTAGGGTGATTACCAACTTGCCTATAAGATTACCAAATGATCATGAAACAGATTTCTGTTGACGCGCAGACCTAAAAGATTGTATCGCCTCTGATTTATTTCATTTTATTGCGATCCTTGATGAGCGAGGTAAGCACCAGCTCTGGGATCACTTTTACTATCTACCAGCTAAATATTACAATTTAGAGTTTTTATTTATTAAACTAAGTAGCGAAGTCCAAAGAACATAAAGAAATTAAGTTTAGATCTTCATTCGTAAGGAGAGGATAGGATCGCAAATTGACCGCATAAATTTGATATCAGGCACAAAGGCCTCATCACCAACTTTAAAATGAAATCTTAATAACTTTTCACTTATATATAATACTTTCGTATTTAAGACAGAAAGTCTTAAATACGAAAGTATGGGTGTAAAACAAAAAGTGTAGTTTTATAAATATAAAATAGTAATAGAATCTTATTAAAGCTATCTTATTAGCTTAGGTTATAAGTACTATTAATATTAATAATAAAACATAAATAAATATAACACGAAATTTCCCTCTAGCAGAGAATTGATGGTATTGCAATACTTATTCGTTAAGCTAGGAACACACCAGCTCTGGTGTCACTGGTACTGTCTCAGGATCCAACATAAATCAGCTCATGTGTACTTGAACCCCACTGCCCATTTTTTTAATAAAACAGGGGCAAACGGGCAGGAGGCTCAACTGACATTAAGTAATTGACACTCTCAACGTCAGAGGACTCGTGAGTGCGTTGCCGGCTTTTAAAAATATATGACGCTCTACGGCAGCTTTTGTCGTGAAAATAAATTTAATTAAGTTCTGATAATATTGCAGAAACATATAAAATTAAAATCGCTTGTGTACGGTAACCATTTATCGAGTTGGCAACATGATTTAACGAATGTCCATCAAATATGTTTGAAGCGCGTGAAGTCGAAATGTTATGATAACCATTGAAATATGGATTGATAATGTGTCTTTAGACGCCTTTATTTAAAATAAAATATGTCAGTAGCTTTGCTTATAAAATCTATTAAAAATATAACTCTAAGAACTGTTAAATAATATTTTTTATTGAATTAGTTATTACTTATTAATTCGATGCGCGCATTTAACATTCGCTCGAATGGTGTAGGAAAACATCGTGAGAAAACCGGCTTGCCTTAAACCCGACGACGTGTGTCAGGCACAAGCTGATCACCTACTTGCCTATTAGATTGACAAATAAATAATAATCATGAAACAAATAAATCTGAGGCCCATACCTAAAAAGGTAGTGGAACGACATCGAGGTATAGGATACGGGTGGAATTTCATATTCTGCCTCGACGTCCGATGATGAAATTCAGCTGCAGGTATTAATCCGAACAACTCCTCTGAACACTCTCCATGGTAAATGTTGTAGAAGATGCAGAGTTACCCCACATCTCTACGCAAAGCCAAGTTTTCAAGCCGTTCGGCTTTTGGACAATACACATAATTAAACTGAAGACTTGCCCCGCGTGCGACTGGGACGAAAGAACCGACCAAACATGTACTTGTTGACTGTCCGACTTTCGAAAGAGCCAGGTGCGATCTGGAGCTCGATACTGGCATGATGGTATCTCGACTTGCTCGAGCATAGATAGAAGCTGGAGAAGTTCTGCCGTAGAATTGCAGCACAAGAGGTGAATTGGGTCCGCAGGGCAGCGGGCTCCGACTCCGAAATTACTCCAGAGTAATGGAAATATCGAAGAATATTTCCAGAGTAATTGTTTCCCAGGCCCTGCAGGAGACGCCAAGCCAGACAGACCTAATTTTAAGCAAATGAGGTCCCTTTTTAGGAAAGATGAGATTTGACACTCCCCTGCAGCCTAACTTCTAGGCCATATCTGCTTGATCGAGTGTCTAATAGGTTATGAGGTCCTATGTATATAAAAAAGTATTATTAATAACTTTTTCTTAGCCAAGAAGCCCTCAAAATCTCCAAGAATTACCCTAATTGAAATAACCAAGAACATTTGAAATTCATAAACAAACATTTACAGGTCATACAGGTATAATTTTACAGCAGGAATGTCGGAATTCGCTTTTCTAAATATAATCTATCCCCTCTGCATTATCTTCGTGACACGTCGCGATGCATGTGTAATTATTTTCTATCACGTGACCTTTCTTGCAACAAGTAGGAGTGCGGTGCAATAAATATAGCTTTATTGTCAATCTTCTAAGTTACACTTTATCTAATTTCTACTTAGTTATTAACGAAATTTAGTTAAAGTAAATGTTAATATTATCATTGGCGTAATCTTGCTCTTTCGCGAATTTTGTAAACGTTTTTTACATTCATAAGGATGCCCTAAGACGCATCTAAACTGAATAAACGTATTTTGATTGATTGACACCGACAGTTACTGTGTACGACATAGCGATAGCGACTTCCTCATTGAGTTATTAAATCCAATTTCAATATAGTTATATTAAATTTTACGAAGGCAACAGATTTTTTGTACTTTTACTTTTTAGTTCTCTCTTAACAGGCGTGGCCTTTAAATCTATATTAATATTACAAAGAGGAAAGATTTGATTTTTTGTTTGTTTGAAATGAATAGGCTCCGAAACTACTGGACCGATTTCAAAAATTCTTTCACCGTTGGCAAGCTACACTATTCCCGAGCGACATAGGCTATGTTTCATTTAAAAAAAAATATAGGGATGCTAACTAAAACTTGAATAATCTAACCCAAGTTGTAAAAAAATAAACAAAAAACTTCCTTCACTCGCGTGCGCTGCGATAACTATTAATGATAGAACAAAATGATGTATTTCAATTTTTCAGGACACATCACTATTTATAAAAAGTGTCGCGACAGCATGTCTCTATCTTTTATAGTTACGTCACAATAAGCGTCCTTTTATTAATTTTTTTTCAAAAATAACACCGCTAGTAAAGGCTCTTTATTCGTACCTAGGTATTGATCCTTATCAAAATAAATACCAACGTTTCACATAAGCTACAATTTAATGGCATAACCACCAAAAAGCATGGTGGATTAGTGTTCTCCTGCCGTTTCTCTTGAATAGTTTACTACTATGTAATATGCCTCTTAGCCACAGCAACGCTTGGCCGAGTCTACTAGTATATAATAATAACTGTAAATATTGATACATCAAAAGTACGTGTTTCCTACAGGTGTTATATTGTTTACGATTTGCACGTGGCCTCGAAAAAAATCAAGTACCGAAATAGTTTGTCATAAAACTCGTTCAAATAAATATCGAATTACGAATCTTTGTTTAATGACTTACTCGTACACTTGGCGCAATATTTAACATTTAAATAAAAGTTATTAGTATTTTTCTTGTGTCGACGTAGAACTGACGTCACTCGAGGTAGTTGCGCTGCTTGGATAGGTCGTAACATTATTTGTACTTTTATTTTCGCAAGTAATAATTCCAAACTATGAAACAATTAAATAATAATAAATAAAAATGTAAAATAATTATAATTTAATACATAACTTCAATCCGTTAAAAAAGTGTTTTCTTTTAAACAAATCGAATCAAATAAAATTATGATTCTTAAAAGTAATAGGAGAAATGTCCGTGATTAACCAAAGCAAATACTAAAATAAGGCGCATGGCATAAAAAAAGCAATGCAGCAGCTAACTAAATTATTATGTACATACATGGTGGTCATAATGTTCACAAATATTGCAACTATAGATTTTACATTATACTATAAAAAAAAATTAACATTTATTCAAACAGCGTGTGAGCTACGATAAAGTTGATTTCTTTAAAAAAAAGTAATAAAAATAAAAGCAAATATCGAATACAAAAACTCTCGTATCACGGGGTTTGTAAATAAACTCCTCCGAATTGGCTCGACCGATTTTCGTAAAATTCTATGCGCATAGGTCTGCAAATCGGACATCTATTTTTCATCCCCCCCTAAATTTTATATTTTAGACAAAACTTTAATTTTAATTTTTTTATGATACAGCATAAAATATACATACATACCTACTTAATTATCACCCCTCTACGATCAACCCCTATTTTTTAGTATAGTAGATTATTATTTTTATTAAACTAAAAAAATGTTTCCTAGAAATAATATACATGGCAAGACGACGTTTTCCGGGTCAGCTATATGTAGAAAACATATATAACTAGATTAGCAACCAGTTGATTTTGTCTAGTTTGTCCTATCGAGCAGGAATTATTTAATTATTTATTCATTGAAACAGCAGTTTACAAAACATACCTACTTTTGTACACCCATTTAAAGAGTCAGGCCTCCTCCATCCAGCTCCATGTCTCTCTATCTTGAGCCAATTTTCCCCACAAAAATCCTTAAGCTCAGCTCAGCTCACCGTGCAAGAAGGTGACCTCTCTTTCTTAACCCTGGTGGCCTCTCCACCTTCTCATGCGAGTAGTGTGGCCAGCCCATTTCAGTTTGATTATATATTTAAATTAAATCAACAACAGAGCTGGTGCGGCTTGTAATGCGACTAAAAAGTTAAAGCCTGCAAATACAGGGGTCTAGAATATGACTTTGTCCCATTCAGTGTCGAGACCCTTGGTCCGTGGGGTCCTAGCTCTGTAAGGCTTTTTAAGGTTATCAAAAAGGTTAGTCGACATCACAGGAGACCGAAGAGCTGGCAGCTACCTCGGACACAGATTTAGTCTAGCTATTCAAAGGGGAACGCTGCCAGTATCTTCGGAACCTTGCCTAAAGGGATTGTTTTTATTGATATTTTTTTTGTGTTTTTCCTTCTGTTATAATAATTTATGTTAAGTTAACCATGTTTAGTTATATTTATTCGTTAATCTATTTATGAAATATTAAAATACACTTCAATTAAATCATCTTGATGTGACTTCCATTCGAGAAATATCTGACATATACACACTTGTAAACTTCTGTATGTTGCGGTTTCCAGACAGTTTATGGTAAACAGGTAGTCTAATTAGCGGAAATTTAACATTATATAAATTATCCACAGATAACGCGTCAGCAGTGACTACAAAACCGAAGCGGAGAGCGTACCTTCTCAAGAGGAAAGCCCTCACCACTGGCTTCTTTGACCAGAGCCGGAAGGATGCCGACAAGGAAAAAGGTACCTTTATATGATCCACGTAAAATATATACTTTTTCATTCAAACTAAGATCTGGTCGCCAAACTCCAAAAAAGTACATTGTTTCTTTCCATTTTTCGTCATCGTTTCTTGAAGTAGGGCGAATGGAAAAAATATATGGTGGAGTTGAGTAGTTTATGTATCCATTTTGAAAGATTAAACACGATTTAAATAACTTCGCTCGATAGAAAATAAATCCAAACATAGCCAATTTTTGACACTTTGAATTTATTTTATGACGAAAATGATTTTGAAGTTTACACGATATATTCTATCGCAAGCCAATTAATTCACTTCAGAAAAAAAAATGATAAACTTACATTAATTTAATGTTTTACATAACTAATTGTTGTTACGGGCCTGCGCGCCTCAGTGCTCCAGCTCTCCACTGCGCCCCGCAGTCCACCCCGAGACACTGACACAGCAATTCGTGCTGGGATAGGGTCTTAAAGCAGTGTATCTGTTTGCATGCAAACCTATGCCCACTCTAGTTTCTTACTACAATAAACATACTATCTGTATAGCTTGCCAGTGTGCTGATGCGTGAGTCAGGGGGTTTATATTGACAAAAAATGACTAGAAATAACGTCTGCACCAAGAGAAAGATCTAAGAACAAAGATCTGGATTTTCGCTATCGGGCAGTGATGATTAAGTCTTTTTATCTTTAGCGAGCTTCTTCATGAGATCCATCTCATCCTTGGAGATTTGAACCACGGATGTGCATGTATGTATGTGTGCATTTAATCGTCGCATGCCTAAGAGTCTAAAAGTCGAGGGCATCAGACACAGGTTGAACCCCTACTTGCCTATTAAACAAATCATCACAATGCAGACCTGAGTCTTACACCTAAATCACCTACTTATGCTGTGCAAGATAAATTTAGTAAGAATTTTTTTTATCACGCGCTGACAGTTGAGTGGCGACATAAATAGTTTTAATGGTCATATATTTTAGAAAAGATAGCTTATAACATATAGCAGTCTGGGCCTCAGATATCTGTATATGTTTCATGATCATTTGTCCATCTAATAGGCAAGTAGGTGCCTTCTGTGTCTGACACACGCCGTCGACTTTTTGGATCTAAGGCAAGCCGGTTTCCTCACAATGTTTTCATTCACCGTTCGAGCGAATGTTAAATGCGCACAACGAAAGAAAGTCCATTGGTGCACAGCCGGGGATCGAATCTACGACCTCAGGGATGGGAGTCGCACGATGAAGCCACTTGGCCAACACTGCTCGCTTGTAACATATACTGTTTATATGAATATATGATGTGGTGTTAATAATCTTAATAGACTATCCTAAACTACTAAACCGATTTCAATCAAATTGCAAACCGTGTGCAGTTTGATCTAACTTAAAAGATAAGACAGCTTACATCTTCATTTATACCCGCAATATTATTTTATTGCAAATTATTTGTTTATTATTTGACAGTCACAATTCTAACAGATGGCGCTGTGTTGAAAGTACCAACGTTTCACATAAGCTACAATTTAATGACATAACCATGACTGGCGTTCGACGTTTCCCTTGAATAGTTTACTACTAAGTAATATAACAAAAACTTTAGCCACAGCAACGCTTGGCCGAGTTTTTTTTTTAATAGAACAGGGGGCAAACGGGCAGGAGGCTCACCTGATGTTAAGTGATACCGCCGCCCATGGACACTCTCAATGCCAGAGGGCTCGCAAGTACGTCGCCGGCCTTTCAAGAATCGGTACGCTTTTCTTGAAGGATACTAGTTAATTATAAAAAAAACATCAGATAAGCCCGCCCGTTTGCCCTCTATGTATTATTCAATTATCAACAGTGTATATATCTGTTTTTATTAGAAAACCTTGGTTATAAAAATCGGGCATAAGTTACGAGGTGGTAGTCGTTTAATAAATCAAAATGATCTATTAATTTAACCGAGCGAATGTACAGTGTTCGGATTTTATTAGTTTTCAAACGATATACGACTGTTTTAGTGGAAAATTTACAATTGTTTATTGTAAGAGGAAAATTTAATTTTCACTAATATCGTTCTAAATTGTGTTTACACTATAATAAAAAGATTTTTTTTTTATATAACAAGAGGAAAACGGGCTGTAGGCTCACCTGTTGTTAAGTTATACCGCCGACTATGGACACTTAATGCTAGAGGGCTCGCGAGTGGGTTGTCGGCCTTTTAAGAATCACTCTTTTCTTTAAAAGTCAAAAATTATTTTTTCATATAGGTAACACAATGTACACTTATGAACACACATCCACATAGTGGTGGTGCGGCAAAACTTTTAAAAACGCTCAGTTGTGGAACGACGGACGTGCAGGTTTTTTATATATAAAATATAATATATACAACAAATACTAGACGTTTTTTGCTGATAAAACAGAGGTATGAGATAGGCACTTAAAAATGCTTTCTTTAAAATAGATCTGCCCACTTTGATGTGTTTAAATCGAATTCACCTGTGATGAATAGTGGATCCTGTACCTACTATAATCGGAAGCACCCATCGCAATGGCTGAAATGAGCCGAACCAGCCAAATCGTGCCCCAAGCGATAATTGACTCCGGAAAAGTTACTTGTGAGTTGTGAGCGTTTGGTGGACTAGTGCCGGGGTATATACCACCCCCACATACAAACCTTCACATACTTACTCTCACTTTTACACCATCACACATCACAGCCAAATTAGGTACCACTTAGTTGAATGTATTGACAAATTTTTATTTGTTTGTTTCCTTTTGTAAATTTTTGAACCTTTTTGTAGTTCTTAGTTAGTAGTGAATATTTTCAGTGTAACTGTTTGTTATTATATATAATTTATGTTAGCTGTAGGATTACAAAATAAATAAACAATTACGGTAAAAAATTTAACTGTGATGGAGCAGTCGAAACCACCTTCAAAGATTGTATTGTTTCCCATCCCAATTGTTTTTTTTAGTTAAGGGATCAATGAACTACCTATAATATGGTAAAAGTGCATATAGCAATGGTACATACTATTAATTAAAAATATCTACTTTTTGTTCCTCCCATACAAAACGCCGATTTCATATTTTAATATTTCTATAATTTCGACTCTATTTATAGCACAATAAAGCTAATTTTACAACAAACGTGCGTTCAAACTGTTTCATATATCAAGATGTGATGACTGACACTGCTCACATACAAAGTGTGTCTAATAATAGCGTGTGTACGTGGCGCCTAACATTATCGACAAATTCTTTGGTTTCTAGTCATACATACTTTCGCCAACACATAGGAAAACCCGTAGACAGTTTTCCTTATTGTGTCTTATTGCAATTTAAAACAAATAAAGCCAGCGAATCTATGGAAGGAAAGGAGCTGGTGCTGGGGAAGGAAAGAACGAGAGGTGAGAACAGTACTCCACGTTGAGTTGCAAGCGGTGGCCCGGAGTGAAGTACCGTCTCCCCTTGCTGAGCACACCAAGCTTCTTAGGGGCCATTCAAGTACTAAGCAGATTTACTGCAATTTGACCCCCCCCCCTCTTCTCCTCCTCCTCTTGTCAGCAAAAGTAAGCAAAGCTCTCAAAAGTAACAGTACATAAACGTATTATTTGTTTGTAGGAATCCTCGAAAATGCATTTCGTTTTCAAGCATAGACAATGTGTAATCAAGTAAATAATTACTGTTGACGTAATCACCAAATAAGAAAGTCAAAGACCCCCCTCACCCCCCAAAGGGCTTACGTAATACTTGAACGGCCCTTAGAGATAAACATGGCCTTTTCTTCCAAATGACCGCGAAACTGATCGTCATTCGATATGTCAACGCCCAGTATTCAGTAGCTGATGCTTTAAAAAGAGTGCTAAAGAAGAGATAGAGATAAAGGGTGTTTATTTAGCGGAAAAGTGACTGGTCGTCGGCGATTCGAACGTTGAATAAACCTGACATACGAAACCGTTACGAATTTTACAATGCTGAATTCCAGAAAATAATTTGTGTTAATGATCGAAAGAGAAACAAACATTAAACGTTAAGTGAAAGAATGAGATGGCGAGTGATATTGTGCGGGTACGACCCGAAAATTCTTGACAGCCTGACCTACTTAGTTATTTTTTCCATAATCAATTTATTAATATAATGGCCGTGATACAAGTAAACAGTATAAAAATATACCGTGAATGTTGGCAAGAATAACAAAAGAGTTTAGATTTTCTAATAAAATGAATTTGTGTTTATAAACGTAATTTTCGTTTAGGACGCAAATAAATAGTTACTGTTAAAAGATTTCTTGTTGATTTAAAAAATATTGTTCAGTAATGAGATTTCAATGTAGGACAACTTTTATTCTATTTTCTATAGTTAAACCGCAAATAAATCAATAGGAGATGATTTCTTGTAGATTCAAAAAAATATTGTAAAAAAAAGGATTTCCATGAAGAACAACTTTTATTTTATATTCCTTAGTTAAAACCTTAGAAGTTAGAAGATACTTACTACTGTTACAAGATTTCTTGCTGATTTTCAAAAAATATTGTACAGAAATGTTATTTTTTTTTCTGTTATCTTATTTGATTTACTTAAACCACAAATACTATAAATATTACTAATAAATAGAGCGAATCCTGAGGAGGGTTTGAGCATAATTCAATATTAACTACGATTAAAGACGTTGGGAAAATCTTACTAAAATACACGAAATCCACGCAATACTGCGCACGGAAGCAATAAAAAAACACCTTTTTTAAGCATATAAATTTCTACACAAACGCTCTATGAGTAAGCCGTACTGCCAGGTTGCTAAGTCGCGCGTTCAGTATAACAACCCCTTTAGGTTGCTGTTGGTTTGTCGCTTTGCAGTTTGGGCATGTTTCTCCAGGCTTATACTCATAACTTCTGGACGATCTCATTTACGCCAATTGCGAGGCAATAGCCGTAGCAGTGTAGTGTACGGAACCGTAATCTAAGTACAACAGATGACCGTACTCACTCGCAAATTGTAAGGCAGTTTGCCTACGCTTTTTGGCCCTGTGAGACAAGGGTTTCAGCTGTACTTACTAACTAAAATGGATCTGTGTTATCTCTCTCTCTTCAATGGTCAGCAATGAAGCACCTGGAGCGGACTATCTGTTTCCACCGGTTTCTATCCAGTGTCGCGATGGGTCTCACTTGATCGTTCCATCTGGTTCAAACCCGAAAACGGCAACAAAATCCGCCAGCATTCTTTTGTCAATCCGCAAACTAACCGTTGTGGTCTCTAGCAGAATGATCAGCGCTGTAGAACACGTCTGCATCACAGCATAATGCTGAGCCAGGGCCAGTTACAACCACAACACACACACATTACACACTTAAAATGTACCTTATTCCTTTTTTTCATTCTTAATGTGTTTGGTATTTAATTTTTTTGATTATTATTCTTTGTGTGCTTCTATGAAGCCACCAAAATTTTTTTAGTTTAAAGGACCATCAAAATTTTTCGTAGAATTGTATTTTTAATTTTAGTCTCTACTGAAGAGTTTATATACCTACAGCGTGGCGTGGCGTTTAAATAAATAGCTATTGTAATCGGTAATCACATATTTTCACGGGTAATAACAGTTTCTAGGTGATACTCACCGTCTATTCGCGTCGAACTATTATGAGCGCGCTAAATTTGCACAATGCCGAGCGCGCTTTTAGATCGTGCGATACCTCTTCCGTGAAATTGGACCAATGGATTATGGGGTGATTATATTTTATTACGGGCCACTGTCTCCTTAACAAACTCTATGTCCTTGGCGCGACAGACTCCGTGAAGTTTTATTAGGGCTTCTGTCTTCTTTATAAACATCTGTTTGTGCTAGACGCGACAGACAGTATGTGCAGAGGCTGTTTTTTTTTTTTTTTTTTAGAGAGGGGGGGGGGGGGGGGGGGGGGACGCGGGGAAGAAGAAACCCCCCCCCCCCCCCCCCCCCCCCCCCCCCCCGCCCCGCCCCGGCGGGGGCCCCCGCGGGAAAAAAAAAAAAACCCCCCAAAGAGGAAAAAGCCGGGGGGGGGGGGGGGGGGGGGGGGGGGGGGGGGGGGGGGGGGGGGGGGGGGGGGGGGGCCAAAAAAAAAAAAGAGACGCCCGGGGGGGGGGGGGGGGGGGGGGGGGGGGGGGGGGGGGGGGGGGGGGGCCCCCCCCCCCCCCCCGCGGGAAAACCCCCCCGGGGGAAAAAAAAAAAACCCCCCCCCCCCCCCCCCCCCCAAAAAAGAAGGGGGGGGGGAGGGGGGCCCCCCCCCCCCCCCCCCCCCCCCCCCCCAAAAAAAACCCGGGGGGGGGGGGGGGCCCCCCCCCCCCCCCCCCCCCCCCGCGGGGGGGGGGGGGGGGGGGGGGGGGGGGGGGGGGCGCCCCCCCCCGGGGGGGGGGGACCCCCCCCGGGGGGGCCCCGGAGCGCGGTGGAGGGGGGGGGGGGGGGGGGGGGGGGGGGGGGGCCCCCCCCCCCCCCCCCCCCCCCCCCGGGGGGGGGGGAAAAAACCCCCCCCCCCCAAAGCCCCCCCAAAAAAACCCCCCCCGGAAGGTACACCCCCGGCAAACCAAAACTGGGCTGGGGGTTTAGAAGAGAGGTTTTTTAAAAAGGAGAAGAGACAAAGGGTGTTTTTTGGGGAAAACGCGCAAACTTGTGTCTTCTTGGGGTTAAATTGTTTCAGCGCAGAGTTTTATTAGGGCTACTGTTTTTTTTATAAACTCTATTTCCTTGATGTGACAGACAGTATGTGCAGAGGCTGTTTCAGCGCGGAGGTATCAGCCACCCACGTAATCCTGGAATGCGTGGCTGTGGCTGTGGTCGCTTGATAGTACCCAGTACTTCACGTTAGCCACGTCTCACCACTCTCGGAAAAGCACAAAATCTGGCGCGGTTTAATTATTATTATTACTATTTTAAGAATATTGTTAATACTGTATAATATAATATGTGTATTGGAAATAGCACGGTTTATTTTATGTATTTCTTGTAATTTTTCAATGCATTTTACAATGAAATAGGTGAGGACTTTATCGGTGAGAAAATGTTTAAACATTATTTAAATTTTTACCCCTTTTTTTTTTTTTTTTTTTTTTTTTTTTTTTTTTTTGGGGGGGGGGGTTTTTTTTTTTTTTTTTTTTTTTTTTTTTTTTTTTTTTTTTTTTTTTTTTTTGTTTTTTTCCCACCAAATTTTTTTTTTTTTTTTTTTATTAATATTTTTTTTTTACAAAAAAAAATCCTTGGGGCGGGGGTTTTTTTTTGGGGGCATCCCCCCGCTGTATTGCGATACTTATTCGTTGAGCGAAGAAAGCACCAGCTCTAGGGTCACCGGCACTGACAGACGCCAACTTAAATCTTTAATTAGCGTGCACTTGAACCCCACGCCTTGATTATTAGTTAAATGAAAATTCCGTTTCGCAGAACCAACTGGCAGCGTTTTTGGAGTCCCTCTGGCGCAATGTGTGGAGACAGAACGCGCCTTAAGAAGACAACAACACACAGGATCCCGGGCTTCCCTCGCCTCTCTCAATACACTTGAGAAAGGAGATGATGTAAGTTTTAGTTTATTAAATAGATTTCCGTATGAGTATACGCGGAACACTTCAATCTACACTAAGATTTTGACATGTACTGTTCCTCACCTCACCTTGTGTAGCACACCACTTCCACTGTTTGTTTAGGCTAATTTTTCAGAGACTTTCAAGAACTTAACATAACTTAAGGCTTTCCAGTACGTGTGTTTCTATTTAAATGCAATTTTTTTTTTGGAAATTGTAACTCGTTGTAACGGGTTGCCTACAGAATAAAATTTAATGACGTGGAATAAGTGATACCTGTATCTTATGTTTCATAATAAACATATTTTATTTTCATTTTACTGTGGGAACAACTCTCAAACTCGTAGTATTGATACTATACTTGTTGAATCATGATGATCATGAATCAAGTCCTTATTATGCTGAAGTGACTGCTACTCTCGGGGCATATCTCCTATTGCACGCCTCGCAGTGCTATACTCTCGACATGTCAAAAAACCCAGTCTTTCGAAACTTGAATGACTTTTTTCTCACTTATTTAACACTTACAGGATAATATGAGTGCACTAAAATCGAGTTAAATAATCTATCAAGCACATATGGTATTTTTTATGAACAATTATTTTGTTTAACATAGTAAATAATAACATTAAAATCAATCACTTGGACGTCCGTCAGTCTGTATTTATGGATCCATGTATGTGGCAGAGAAATTGGTCGAAAAATTTATCGTACCAGAATACTTTTTTTCGTATTATATAAAGTTATACCCTGGGCTGATTCCTAGTTAATATTAGCGTTCTAAGTACTGTCGTTTAATTATAATTTGTAAAAAACTAAAATACGACTGTTCCTCACCTTAGAGTTATGGCGCCACTAAATATGTATGTTTAAATATTCTTCGTAGCGTGAGATTTAAAGATAATAATTTATTTGTTATTTTGTTTTAAAAAACTTGAGTTTTTGTTTTAGATTTTTTTATAATGGAAAAAGAAAAAGTTTGGATTTTCCAAACTATTTAGGTAATCGTCACGCTTATAAAACTAAAACTTTGGCATATACTTGTTCTAGAAATACAGAAAATTCACAATATTAAATGGATATTTAAATAGTAAATAGGTGTTTGGCATTTGCTATTTGTAAGTTCAGAAATAGTTGGCGCGAGTGAGCCAAGACACGTAAAGTGCACCTGGGCCTATCCAACTGAAGATTAATATAAAAGCACACGTTTAACCGAACAAAACGTTATAAAATTCAAAAATCAAAAATCGTTTAATCATATGGGTAACACATTGTACACTTATGACTTGTCAGTAAAGAAATACATATTAATGCTTCTAATTTTACATTTAGTGCCAGTTCTCAAATCAAGGGCGTAGAACGGAAGAGAAGAACTGGCAATAAACTCTCCGCCACTCTTTTTAATCGCCATGTTTTTTTTACACAATGTTTGTAAGGAGCTGCAACCATTACACCATGTTCCACATGACATCTTAAGTAATTAATAATTTTAATAATTTTAATAGTAACCATAACAGCATTAAAGCGTTGTTGGAAAAATGCCTACTCGTATTTTTCCGAAGAAAAGATTTATTGATGGTAATTTTTTTACGTTTGTTTACAAATTCCGGGAACCCCAAAAAAAAAAAAAAAAAAAAAAAAAAACGGCCCCCCCCCCCCCCCCCCCCGCCGCCGCCGGGGGCCGGCGCCCCCCCCCGGGGCCCCCCCCCCCCGCGCCCCGCCCCGGGGGGCCCCGCCGGGGGGGGGCGGGGGGGGGGGGGGGCGCGCGGGGGGGGGGGGGGGGCGCCCCGGGGGGGGGGGGGGGGGGGGGGGCGGCCCCCCGCCCCCCCCCCCCCCCCCGGGCCCCCCCCCGGGGGGGGGGGGGGGGGGGGCCCCCGGGCGGCGGGGGGGGGGGGGGCCCCCGCGGGGGGGGCCCCCCCGCGGCGGCGGCCCCCCCCCGCCCCGGCGGGCGGGCCGGCGGCCGGGCCCCCGCCGGGGGGGGGGGGGGGGGGGGGGGGGGGGGGGGGGGGGGGGGGGGGGGGGGGGGGGGGGGGGGGGGGGGGGGGGGGGGGGGGGGGGGGGGGGGGGGGGGGGGGGGGGGGGGGGGGGGGGGGGGGGGGGGGGGGGGGGGGGGGGGGGGGGGGGGGGGGGGGGGGGCCCGGGGGGGGGGGCGGGGGGGGGGGGGGGGGGGGGCGCCCGGCCGGGCCCGCGGGGGGCGGGGGGGGGGGGGGGGGGCCGGGCGGGGGGGGGGGGGGGGGGGGGGGGGGGGGGGGGGGGGGGGGGGGGGGGGGGGGGGGGGGGGGGGGGGGGGGGGGGGGGGGGGGGGGGGGGGGCGGGGGCGGCGGGGCGGGGGGGGGGGGGGGGGGCCCGGGGGGGGGGGGGGGGCCGGGGGGGGGGGGGGGGGGGGGGGGGGGGGGGGGGGGGGGGGGCGGGGGGGGGGGGGGGGGGGGGGGGGGGGGGGGGGGGGGGGGGGGGGGGGGGGGGGGGGGGGGGGGGGGGGGGGGGGGGGGGGGGGGGGGGGGGGGGGGGGGGGGGGGGGGGGGGGGGGGGGGGGGGGGGGGGGGGGGGGGGGGGGGGGGGGGGGGGGGGGGGGGGGGGGGGGGGGGGGGGGGGGGGGGGGGGGGGGGGGGGGGGGGGGGGGGGGGGGGGGGGGGGGGGGGGGGGGGGGGGGGGGGGGGGGGGGGGGGGGGGGGGGGGGGGGGGGGGGGGGGGGGGGGGGGGGGGGGGGGGGGGGGGGGGGGGGGGGGGGGGGGGGGGGGGGGGGGGGGGGGGGGGGGGGGGGGGGGGGGGGGGGGGGGGGGGGGGGGGGGGGGGGGGGGGGGGGGGGGGGGGGGGGGGGGGGGGGGGGGGGGGCGGGGGGGGGGGGCGCGGGCGCCCCCCCCCGGGGGCGGGGGGGGGGGGGGGGGGGGGGGGGGGGGGGGGCGGGGGGGGGGCGGGGGGGGGGGGGGGGGGGGCCCCGCCGCCGGGGGGGGGGGGGGGGCGGGGCGGGGGGGGGGGCCGCGGGGGGGGGGGGGGGGGGGGGGGGGGGGCGCGGGGGGGGGGGGGGGGGGGGGGGGGGGCGCGGGGGGGGGGGGGGGGGGGGGGGGGGGCGGGGGGGGGGGGGGGGGGGGGGGGGGGGGGGGGGGGGGGGGGGGGGGGGGGGGGGGGGGGGGGGGGGCCGGGGGGGGGGGGGGGGGGGGCGGGGGGGGGGGGGGGGGGGGGGGCCCCCCCGGGGGGGGGGGGGGGGGGGGGGGGGGGGGGGGGGGGGGGGGGGGGGCGGGGGGGGGGGCCCGGGGGGGGGGGGGGGGGGGGGGGGGGGGGGGGCCGGGGGCGGCGCGCCCCGGGGGGGGGGGGGCGGGGGGGGGGGGGGGGGGCGGGGGGGGGGGGGCGCCCCCCCCGGGCCCGGGCGCCCGGGGCCCCCCCCCCCGCCCCCCCCCGGCGGCCCCCCCGGGGTCCCCGGGGGGGGGGGGGGCGGGGGGGGGGGGCGGGGGGGGGGGGGGGGGGGGGGGGGGCGGGGGGGGGGGGGGGGGGGGGGGGGGGGGGGGGGGGGGGGGGGGGGGGGGGGGGGGGGGGGGGGGGGGGGGGGGGGGGGGGGGGGGGGGGGGGGGGGGGGGGGGGGGGGGGGGGGGGGGGGGGGGGGGGGGGGGGGGGGGGGGGGGGGGGGGGGGGGGCGGGCCGCGGGGGGGCCGGCGGGGGGGGGGGGGGGGGGGGGGGGGGCGGGGGGGGGGGGGGGGGGGGGGGGGGGGGGGGGGGGGGGGGGGGCCCGGGGGGGGGGGGGCGGGGGGGGGGGGCCGCCCCGGGGGGGGGGGGCCCCGCCCCGGTTTTTTTTTCCCGGCGCGGGGGGGGGGGGGGGGGGGGGGGGGGGGGGGGGGGGGGGGGGGGGGGGGGGGGGGGGGGGGGGGGGGGGGGGGGGGGGGGGGGGGGGGGGGGGGGGGGGGGGGGGGGGGGGGGGGGGGGGGGGGGGGGGGGGGGGGGGGGGGGGGGGGGGGGGGGGGGGGGGGGGGGGGGGGGGGGGGCGGGGGGGGCGGGGGGGGGCCGCGGGGGGCGCCGCTTGGGGGGGGACACCCCCCGCGCGGCCCCCCTCCTCCTTCCCCCCCCCCCGCTTGCCCCCGCCGGGGCCGGGGGGGGGGGGGGGGGGGGGGGGGGGGGGGGCGGGGGGGGGGGGGGGGTGGGGGGGGGGGGGGGGGGGGGGGGTGGGGGGGGGGGGGGGGGGGGGGGGGGGGGGGGGGGGGGGGGGCGGGGCCGGCGGGGGGGCCCCCCCGGGGCGGGGGGGGGGCCCGGCGCGCGCCGCCCCCCCCCGGCCCGCCGCCGGGGCCGCGCCCCCCGGCGCGGCCCCCCGCGGGGGGGGGTGCCCCCGGGCGCGGGCGGGGGGGGGGGCGGGCGGGGGGGCGGGGGGGGGGGGGGGGGGGGGGGGGGGGGGGGGGGGGTTTGGCGGGGGGGGGGGGGGGGGGGGGGGGGGGGGGGGGGGGGGGGGGGGGGGGGGGGGGGGGGGGGGGGGGGGGGGGGGGGGGGGGGGGGGGGGGGGCGGGGCGCCCCGCCTCCCCCCCCCCCCCGTCCGGCCCCCGGGGGGGGGGGGGGGGCCGGGGGGGGGGGGGGGGCCGCCGCCGCCGGGCGCCGGGGCCGGCCCCGGGTTTCCCGGGTTCCGGGGGCGTTGGGGTTTGGGGGGGGGGGGGGGGGGGCGTTGCGGGGGGGGGCCCCCGCGCCCGGGGGCCCCCGCGGGGGGGGGGGGGGGGGGGGGGGGGGGGGGGCCGGGGGGGCGCCCGCCCCCTCCCCCCCCCCCCCCCCCCTTCTAAAAAAAAAAAAAAAACAAATGCATTATTGAGCAGTATTGGCCTAGTGGCATCAGCGTGCGACTCTCATCCCTGAGGTCGTAGGTTCGATCCCCGGCTGTGCACCAATGGACTTTCTTTCTATGTGCGCATTTAACGTTCGAACGGTGAAGGAAAACATCGTAAGGAAACCGGCTTGCCTTAGACCCAAAAGACGGCTTGTGTCAGTTACAGGAGGCTGATTGACTTGCCTATTAGATGACAAAA